TGCAAATGGGTCCATCTGTCCTAGATAACGATGAGCTAGACAGGGCAGGAATTGATCTCGGTGCCACTGGCAGACTGCAGCTGATGTACAAGTTAGCCGAAGGTGAGTTTCCTTCATTGTGTTAAATTTCTTATCTCACCTTAAAGGAATTTAAGGATTTTGGCAATCTAAGGATTTTGATGAAGATAAATTACATTTTAATCAATTCCATCCTTGCTAAAGAATATACGAAAGCAGAATACAATGTCTTACTTTGAAAACTGCCCCACCTCAAAGTGAAATTTCTGTTATATCGGAAGAAAGTTCTGTTTATCCCTTTGTATCTTCTTTTTTTTTCAAATTTTTATTTCATTTTACGTTGTCAAGGTAGACTTAAATCCTTGCATGTAGAAGTGCGCATTTCTAAGGTTTAAAGACAGTCTTGTTGTACTATTAGTCCACTGTCAGTCATGCTGGTCCATTCAAACTATCGGTATAGTTGAATACCAAACAGTGCCCACTGTCGGTTTTCATGGAGAATTTGTCAGTGCACAGCGTTCATATAGCTGGGGAGCGCTTTTCTACTTTATCCAAGGCTAGCAGCAGAACAGGCAACATCCGAAAGGACCTAAAGTGTTCACATTTTTGGCTACAAGTCACTCTTTTGGAACTGAATAACAAGCGCCAAAATTATTTTCCATTCAATGAAGATTACCACCTGAATTCAGTCTCCACTCCTTAGAAATTTTTTCTCCAAGTTTTGCCAATTACCATACTGATAAGTGAGGGATTAATCTGAAGCTAGCAGTACCTACGTAAGAGAATTTTCTCTAGTTTATAAATATCTTCATGTTCGAGCATCAAACTAACTGAATTAAAAAAAATTTCCTTCAACAGGGACGGGTATGCAAATTCCACCTGCTGCTGCAAACGCTCTGCAATTAGCAAACAATGCTATCGTCGGAATGATGGCTACAACTCCTACTCCAGCAGCTGCGGCTACGGCTGTGACGAATCCTCCCATTGCAACACAGTGTTTCTTATTAGCAAACATGTTCGATCCTTCAAGGTAAGTTGGACATTTTTTATATTCTTCGCTCTAGTTCAATTGAGGACACTGCACCAAGAACAGCCTATAACTGGAAACCGCGTTTTGTCAAAACGCATTTAAAGTTTTGTTTTTTATGTACTGCGCAGACTTTTCTATGCAGGTACCCTGTTTTGGTGTTTTTGGGTGACCTAACCCTTCTATTGAAGGATGCCAGGTAGATTTTGCGATACATTTTGGGTTTACACTCTAATGTATTTAATTTAAAAAAGCGGTTTATAGGCCATTATTACGCCCAACAGTCATTTTGATGGCAATATGAAGTATTAATCATTTTATTCACGCATGATTAACGCAAAATGAAAGAATATCTATAGTGAGTGAAGAAAGGGGTAACTAGCACCTCTTAGGCCCTTAAGTTTATATGTCGTTCTTGCACCCATCGATCCAGAAGCCTGACTTAACTCGGAAAAAAAAGGTTTTTCGACCTCGAGCTGTTACCTATCTATATTCTATCGCTACCACAGCATAGTCCAGGGTACGTAGATTCCGAAAATCAGATGGGCGTAATAACGACCTGTACGCCTATAGGCTGTTCTTGGTGCGGTGTCCTCAATTATGAAACGATTTTCCCATATTTCCTGTAAAATCTCAAATCTGCTGAGAAAAAAGGGAGGTGTTTACATGTCGAGAGGGATGCATCTGTTCAGTCACCCCACTCTAGGGTGTGCCTTATTTTTGAGTTTTGCGAAAATCAAGTTGGTCAACCCC